GTCTCAAGGGATGAGAACCTCTAATGAGCGGCGTTATTTAGTTCCTCCCTCACCTACACCCACTACACCCTCCTCATACACTATACCCACTACACCCTCTTCTACACCCACTACAACCTCTTTTACACGCACTACACCCTCTACACTCTCCTCATACACTACACCCTCCTCATACACTATACCCACTACACCCTCTTCTACACCCACTACAACCTCTTCTACACGCACTACACCCTGTACACTCTCCTCATACACTACACCCACTTCACCCTCCTCATACACAACACCCATTACACCTTCATATACTCTATACACCCACAACGCCATTTCCTCCAAATTACACCATTTACACCGACACCTTTTTTTCCTTTACAGTCATCCTCATTACAGTACACTTAAAAACACCCATCTACCTTACACCACACCTTTTACCTCACCTGTGTAGGATACTATGATAGAGGCGGCGGTCACGGGATCTGCATGGTGGTGAGGCAGTTTGGTACATACTCGTAATTAGAGGCAGTTGTGGCACTAGAGGCAGTAAACCCATAGTGACCACAAGACGAGGCAATATGAAGCGTCTTACTCACTATATATTATAACTCTCTATTTGTACTCTGTCCCTGGGTCCTGTACTCTATCCAACCTGTGCTATGAACTGTGTACTCTTGTCTCTGTGTCCTGTACTCAACCCGTGTCATGATATATATCGTTCTTAGTCTCTTGTTCGGCATCCAATCATCTCCTCACATTTACAGATTGAAAACTTCATGTAGAAATTGATAATGATTTTTCTATTCTCCTGCTCCTCGTGTTCACATCCTCCTTAATCAATTTTTTTTATGTGTGAGTTGTTGAGTTGGCGACTTGTTACCTCCAGCTAGTGTGATCTTATAAAATATAATAATAATAATGATAATACTACTACTACTACTACTAATAATAATAATAATAATAATATAATAATAATAATAATAAAAGACAGGCGCTCAACGGCTGCTTTCATGAAAAACAATGTGTGACAAAAATGAAAGCTGTCTTAGTATAAGATGTCCACGAGGGTGAGATCTTTCAGTGGAAAAAATCGGGAGATAGAAATAAAATATTTTATTTTTATTTTCCTTTGTCCTGGGGTGAGGGGAGGTGCAGGCTACTCCTCCCTTTTTGTAAGGTTGGTGCGCCTCACTTAATAAACCATGAGTACATTACTGTTTTTTAGAAGTATAAGCAGATGGCGAAAGCAAAACATAATTTACGTCAAACATAAATTTAGAGCCTAAAGACTGACCTGCCGACAACCGCCTGAGGAGGTTGACAAAGAACCATCAGGAAATATTACACTACTAAAAAATATTTATTTAATATTATAACGGCCTAATAATACATCGCTGATAAGTTTTATGCCATGGTCAAGTGAGAACGTGATTTCCTGTAGACGGCAACACTCACAAGCGAGCTAAGAAATATAATGTTCTTACGGCGACACTCGTTGACCAGGCCATCACGGAACACCGCTCAGTATTCACAACAAATCCTCAGGTATCTCTGCCATATACAGGTAATAGGTCTTCCTTATTCAAAATTTTAGTGTTCGTCATGTGCACGGTGCCACTTGCCCCTGACTCTCAAGGTACGATACACGGGAAGTCCTTAGACAGAAATCCCGGAAGGTTAGAGTCACATTGTCATTTTTGGTAGATTATTATTTATTCTTGTACTCAGCGTAAGATTGTGGTACTGCAGATCGGAATAGCTAAAGACAGCCAACGTAGCCAGAGTCGAACAGGATTCTTTTTTTATTTAATATTAGCGAAGGTCCTCAGTGCCTATAGGCCAGATTGACTGATCTGAAATATTTTAATCTGAAAACATTGATAATACGCGATGAATGTATATACTGTGTGCAACAAATCATACACTCAGACCACACAAACAAAAGAAAACTATTTGCGTTACTGGCAACAAGGTGACATAGGGTGTACAATAAACTAACCGCTCCCACACAAAAGCTAAAACTGAATTAAAATTATTTATTGTAACTAAACCATTGGATAAATTCCACATTTGTAACTTTCACCAAAGATCAATAACAAAGAAAGTAAAACAAACACAATCAGCGACCAAAAACAAGTAAAGAAAATCACAAGTAAATACTCAGAGAAAGATCGTTCATTAACAAACAATAACACGGAGATGAACAACACCACAACCTACAGAGAAAATGACAATAACAACTTCTGAAATTAAACATACCAACAAACCATGACTGAAGGATCACAAACAACACGAGAGACAGAGACCTTCACAAACAAACCAGAAAAATAAAGTGTTCAGACAGAGACCCAAACAAACAAACCACGTCACAAGCAACTAAAATCATGATTATAAAAGCACATGACACAAACACCAGTGACAACCCATACACAAACATAAATACCAACCAATGACACAAAAACTAATAATAGGGTCAGGGGTCACATAAACCACAGGTCAGAGTCACATAAACCATGGGTCAAAGGTCACATAAACCATGGGTCAGTGGTCACATAAACCATGGGTCAAAGGTCACATAAACCATGGGTCAAAGGTCACATGAACTATGAGTCAGAAGTCACATAAGCCAAGGACTAGAGGTCACATAAACCGACGCCTGAGGTCACATATCCGATGGAAAAAAGTAAATGCAATCCAAGGTCAAACAAACCACAGTGTAAAACCGGTATAGGTGACACAAACCACGACCTATACTCCACACTGAACGCTAAAACAACACCACACATCCAGTTGGTCGTAGGTGTAAGACAAACGTTCAGGAAACTCGTTCAAGTCGTTTACATAGTTTTCTACCGAGGCTCTTAACCCTTCCACCTGAGTACAAGGAATTAATGCACTGAGGAAGATATTCTAACCGCTTGAGTACAATGACTTTATCCCTTGATTACAATATCTTAACCCTTTGAATAGGTTAATATATTTCCTTGAGTTCGATGACATTGTACTCAAGGTTAGGTTAGGTTATATTGTGTTATATAGCTTTCTACCAAAAATAATTGTGTGTAATAAATTTCTTTAAGAACGACGGGTCTGTGGTATATAATGAATATTTTAGGGGGGTTATAATTGATGTTTTTAGTTGAATGTTATAAAAGCTTTTTGTAACTAGTGTTTTCGATAATAACTCTACCTAATAATAACCACTGCGTTACTCCGTACAACTAGTCACAGACGTAACTCATCATGTGACCATTACCATCAGGACATTGGTGTTATTATGTTATTACTGCACTCCAATAACTATGGTCTTTAAATGCATATAACGAGGTACAGTACATCAGAGCGACAGCGTAATTTCTATACACCATCTCGGCGCCGACACTGTGAGGTTCCTTGTGTACGGGTCTCCTCTGAGCTGAATAAAATCATCTAGCATTAGCCAAATAAAATAGTAAAAACGACGTCCCCATAATGAAGGGATTAAGAGAGACAGAAATTTATCGTACGATTCTCTGTTAATTTTGGAGGTAAGCATCACGACTTTTTATTGATCCTTATGTCTACTGTATGTCTATTGCCGTCTGACCAGCGACCTTGTGTCACTGTTATGTCTCCTCTTTATTGTATTTTCTCTTATTATATATAAACAAAACTCAATTCCTTCCCTTTTATTACTTTTCATCAACATTTTTGTCATCTTCGTCACTCGTAATTTTGATAATTTCGTAATACTAAGTTGTGTTACCGGAAGTGGATTGTTTACAACTCGGGTTCAAAGAAAGTGAGAGCTATTAATATATGTTTTGGCTGTTTTATTATGATTATTATTATTATTACTATTATTATTATTATTATTATTAGTAGTAGTAGTAGTAGTAGTAGTATTATCATTATTCCTAATATTATTATCATTTTCATTGGCATACTTTTGGGTTTATTATATGATGATTAATACAACTAAAAAAATTCGTTATACTTATTATTATTATCATTTTTGTTATCAATCGTTATTATTATTATCATTGTTAGTATTTATATCATTTTATGCATTATCACTTTTCTTACCATTCCCGTCATTATTATACTTCACCATTACTACACCATCATCTGACCTTCACTACACCCACCCTTCACCATCATCTCATCACTATGATTCACCACCCAAGAACAACACCATCTTACCCACAGATTAGTCCAATTTTATCAGCGTGGATGAACACGCTCACAGTGCATAATAATAATAAAACAAGTCAAAGGGCCAATTTACACGAGAGCATAAAACGTGACCTCCCCTATATCCGTACCCAGTCCCATTTTCCTCGCTTCTGGTTAAGTTAGGTTAGGTTTGATTGTGTCAATTTGATTAATGCTGATGTTGTTCACAAATAATTTTCTGTCTGTTCAAGTTGTTGACATATAACGAACTAGTGCTGTATTCGTGTGTGCTAACAAGTCCTCGTCTCACTGGGTCAAATATTGGTTGTGTTGGATACCATTAAAGGGACGCCATTGTAAATCACAGACACATACTTGTTTTTGAAGTATTTTTATTGTATTAAATGATTTGCTGAATCAACCTGCCTTGTCACACTACGGGATCTCACTGACACATGTGTCGGATTTGACCTTCTTTCAGCACCTGAGTTTTTAACATCTGATCTTACCGGAGTCAGATTTTAAGAGGACTTCCTGGCAGCGTGTGTTTGTATATCATCATAATTATGTGGTGGTGACTGAGGAGGGGAAGGGGGTGTGTGGGAGCTGTGCCAAACAGTGATGAGTTGAAGACTTTTAGTCACTGAACTACGCTGTCTGGTGCCACAAAACTACAGCTGAGGCAACTGTCTGGTGCCACAAAACTACTGCTGAGGCAACTGTCTGGTGCCACAAAACTATAGCTGAGGCAACTGTCTGGTGCCACAAGACTACAGCTGAGGTAACTGTCTGGTGCCACAAAACTACTGCTATGGTGCCCGGTGTAACTAGACGCTCACCGTAACACTCACCTTGTCATGATGGGCGGGTTGTTGGGTGGTAGGGTTGGTCCTGGGTCTGGGCGGCAGGTCGGCACGGAAAGGCTCGGGCGGCGGGGCGGGCTGGGCGTCCTCAGCGTGAAGGACCTCCATGAGGTAAGCGATGTAGGAGGTGGCGAGGCGCAGGGTCTTGATCTTGGAGAGTTTGGTGTCAGAGGGCACGTTAGGGATGCACTCCCTTAGCTCGGCGAAGGCGTTGTTGATGCTCTGCGTTCGTCGCCGCTCCTTCTTGTTGGCGGACGACCGTCGCTTCACCACCCTCCCGCACCCGTCCACCATCTCGATGGTGTAGTCCCCGCCAAGGTCGTGGGGGGACCCGGGCCCTACCACGAACCCCCCAGACACCCCATACTCAGGGCACGCCACCGCCACCTCCGAGGAATAGCCTGGAGAGTAGCCTGCAGGCGTGTAGCCCCATCCCGGGTACAAGGCCTGCCCTGGGGGGCTAGGGTGGGAGTAATAGGGAGAATAGAGCGCCTCGGGGGAGGGCGTCGCCCCCATGGCGGCGTGGCCGTAACTCTGCGGCATCGAGTACCCTCCTACTAAACTCATCTTCACTCACACTGACCTCCACGGCCCAAAGGTTCAACAACAAGTGCCAAGTCTCGAGTCAGACACCATCATACCTACTCAAGATAGAACAAGCCAAGCTCCGCCCACCCTCGGTATTTCGCCGTCGTCATTGGTCTATCAAGTTACTAGACACCGCCCAATTTGTTTTCCATCGGCCCAGGGCAGCCAATGGCAAGGCAGTGGGCGGAGCGTTGGGGTGACGTATGGGCGCGACAATGATGATACTTGTAACTCAATTATGGTAAATTAGTGCCCGTTTCCCGCGCACTTTACTGGATTAGCCCCGCTGTAGGAGTGACTTAGGAAGCCATAAGTTGCGAGGGTACTGGAGACCACCGCTAAATTACCCCCTTGAAATGAATGATTCTTAGGTCTGTTTGGTTAATAATTACTCCTCCACCTTGGCCCCCAGACCAAGACAAAGCGCATAGCCATCACCTCCCACTGTAAGACACCAACACTGGTGAGCGCCCCACCAACTAATTCCCACACACGGTTAATTACTTCCTTTTGGCGGTCACATATGGCAACAATCGTATATTTAAGGCAAAGCGATCCTATTATCAGAAAAAAATTGCTCACCACACTTAGGAAATTATACATTACATATATTCACGGAAAAGGAAACTAAGATCTAAGAGAGGAAGCAAACTTATCTCGGCTGGCAGTTCCGCTCTCCTGTGACGTGTGTTGATATTTCCTATATGAAACACGCTAGCAGGAAGTGTGGACATGTTTATGTGTGATTAATAATAAAGGAAGGAGATGTGTACACACCACCTCCCCCCCCCCCTCTTGCTGCTATGCGTACAGCCTCTCCCCCCCTCCCAGCTCCCATGAAACGGGGGTGGGGGGTGATAGGTGGAGGGTGGTAGGAAGAGTGTTTTAGCTGATGGGTGACCAGTGTGGGTGGCGGAAAGAGGTATTATAGGTGGTAAGTGGCCAATGTGGGTGGTGTGAGGGACGAGATGGGGTATCATATGGGTGGCTAATATGGATGGCATGATGGGTGAGAGGGGAGGGAAAGGAGAGGGAGGGAAGGGTGTGGGGAGGGCGGGGGGGTAGGGACAGTGAAGATGGCCGCCCAGGTATACAATAATGGTAGTGAGTGTGGAAGGTGTAGGTCGATACTCCTCCTCTCATTCCTCAAAGGTCTTCCTCCTCCCTCTGTGTTTGTTGCTCTGTAAAGTCGTGTCTTCCTGCGTGGGACCTGGAATTCACGTGGGTTTTATTTTCGGAGTTTATGATACGAACAGCGGAAATGTGTGTGTGTGTGTGTGTGTGTGTTGAGGGGAAATAGTGGATGAAAGTGGAGAGGAATAAAGTTGACTCATCTCTATATTAATAACTGTATAATGATATCAAAGCGTCCACACACAATACAATACCTATAATTAATAAAGCATTCTAAAATATTATCTTAATATATTGCAGTTCACCTTACGCGTCTAACCTAAGATTGTATTTTTATTTTATTTTATATAGTGTGGATGTATATTGTAAAAGTGCTGTATATGTACCTATCACTGGGGCCTAAATTCGAGGTTATTTGTGTACTTGTAACTTTTTGTGACGAGCGAAGGTCTAGGATGTACAATAAACTAGCTTGCTCCGCCTCTTTCCTATACCCATGCACCTTCATCCACCTCCTTAGCCATCCACGTCTCCTGCCAACCACCTTCATTCACTTTTCCTGTCACCCAGTTTCACCTATTCCTCCCCAGCCATCCATACACCTTTACCCACATCCCCAGCCATTCATTTTCACCCACCTCCCCAGCTATCCACCTTTACCCACCTCTCCAGCCATCCATCTTCACCCACCTCCCCAGCCATCCACCTTTACCCACCTCTCCTGCCACCCACCTTCATTCACCTCCCCAGCCATCCATCTTCACCCACCTCCCCAGCCATCCATCTTCACCCACCTCCCCTGCCATCCACGTTCACCCACCTCCTCAGCCATCCACCTTCACCCACATTCCCTGCTATCCACCTTCACTCACCTCTCCTACCACCCACTTTCATCCATAAACAAAGTTGACGTCACCCATTCTACCCTCCCACCATCTAACACACCTGACATCCTTTCCCCATAGTACACCCTAACGTCGCTCCATCTCAACCACCCATATTAGCCACCCACTACCCGTAATACACCCCTTCCGCAAATCCCCACCCACCCACTCTCTCTCTTTCCGCAAGGGGTTACCTTCAGCTAAACAAGATGCCCTATAATTTTGGGAAATTTTGAAATAGTGAGTGTGACATGCTCGGTGAGTGTGACATGCTTGGTGAGTGTGACATGCTCGGTGAGTGTGACATGCTTGGTGAGTGTGACATGCTGGGTGAGTGTGACATGCTCGGTGAGTGTGACATGCTCGGTGAGTGTGACTTGCTTGGTGAGTGTGACATGCTCGGTGAGTGTGACATGCTTGGTGAGTGTGACATGCTGGGTGAGTGTGACATGCTCGGTGAGTGTGACATGCTTGGTGAGTGTGACATGCTGGGTGAGTGTGACATGCTCGGTGAGTGTGACATGCTCGGTGAGTGTGACATGCTCGGTGAGTGTGACATACTGGGTGAGTGTTTATGATACAGTAGAATTATGTGATAGCTGGTACAGCATTCTCGATACAATGCTCCGGCATGTATGAAGCATTGTTCCGATACATGATACAGTGTTCCTGATTCATTGTTCTGGTACTTGATAGAGGGTCCTTGATACATGATACACTGTTCCTGATACAATGTTCTTGATACATTATACACATTGTTACAGATATATGATACAGTGTTCCTCATACATTATACAGTGATGCTAACCCAATACTAACACAGTCGCTTCTTGCAGTGTTAACAGTACTCGTTAACTTTAAGAGCTTCTCAGTTTCAACTATTTAATAGACAATGATACACAGGGGCATAAATTTGCCTATTTACTGTTCCCTCACCAAATCATTTTAATCGGTTGGTAAATATATTGAATTATTTCACTGTGACGTCATTGTTAGTTTACAGTTTGGTCCCGGTAGGTATAGGTCTCTCGAGGCCAGTTTGGTCCTGGAAGGTATACTGTAGGCCTCTCGAGGACAAAACAGTGTTTGGAATGTGTTACGATCAGAGCCGTTAAGCTATTTATGCTTGACGACACAAAGCAACATATACCAGTCTATAATTTAACGTCAGGGAAAATTTTGGTTGAATTGTTTAGGCTTTGCTAGTTCATGTAGTTTGCTGTCAGGAAATAACTATACATTTAGCCTCGTCATAATTTCAACAGTTAGTTGGTGAAATATATTTTATTTCACAGACATGCATCGACCTTTAAACCCAGTGTTTCTGTTAACTCTTAATGAAGCTCTCAAACAGCATTAACACCACTGTATTGATGCTGTACAAACCACGTTGGAAACATCGCTTTTTATCCGGACAGCGAAGTGAAGCAACGTATAGGGTCTATTTAGTACTTGGATGGGTGACCGCCTAGCTCTAGAACAACACCAAGACTGCTGGCATAAGGACTCACATGGTAATAAGCCTCTCATGGCTTTGTCGGCTGTCCATGGTCAAATTGACTGAATATCAATTAATATTATTATTATTATTATTATTATTATTATTATTATTATTATTATTATTATTATTATTATTATTATTATTATTATAGCCAAGTTTTTGGTTACCACCTTGTACAAGCTGACACACATCACAAATAGCACAAACTTAACCAGTTTGTTTTCCGGCCCAGCCCTCGCACACTTTATTCATAATAATATTTTATCAAGCGTAAATATTTTTTTTTAATTTCAAGATAAAAAAATCTTCAGAAAATAGAACAGGATATCGATTCATCATGTAGAATTGCTGGCCGGCTGAGTAGTTGGGTCTACCCCAAACATTGTAAACATAAATTATGACGTTTTTATTTCATAAGCAACACACGATCTATTGTACTTATATACTGTAAACATCTTTATCTGCCCTGTCAGTCATTAACGATAAGAAGTCGAACACGTAAGTTAGCATTATAGTCTCTTAGTCTCTGTTGAAGATCTTGTATTGAAATTCTTATTAAAATTATCTTTAATATGTTTCTTGGATGTAGTGCACACACACACACACACACACACACACACAACTGTATATTTTCAGCCTTCTGGCTGCCAAGCTCTTTCAATAAACCGTTAATTATTATTATTATTATTATTATTACACACATGTAGTGCACACAGCCACACACACACAGACACACACAGACACACACACACACACACACACACACACACACACACACACACACACTAACGCCTCCCCCGCCTCAGAGGTAAACAATAGTAAACACAGGAGTGGTGGAGGTGGAGGGAAGACATCAAGGCTCAGGTTACCCAGGACGGTTGCGCCTTGTGTCGAAACTAGATCATTAGTTCTCAAGTACCCACCTGCAGCTGACCCCGACCACGTGTTTATTGTGCCACGTGCTCATAGTGACCCCAACCACGTATTTGTTGTCCCACGTGCTGATAGTGACCCGGAAAATATGTTTTTATTTTTACCGTGTGATAGTTTTGATGGTGGTGATGGTGATAGTTAAATTGGTGGTGATGGTAAGATTGATACTCGTGTTAATAGTGCAGGTAGTAGTGATGCTTACGGTGCGATGATGGAGGTCGCTGGTGATAGTGGTGACTGCAGGTGAGGATGATCATGATGTTGGTGGTTAGTGGTGGTGATGTAATATTAATGTTGGTGATGGTGGTGGTGAAGATGGCAAGGACGATAATGTTGGTGAGGAATGTGATGATGGTGGTAAGGGTGGTAGTAATGGTGGGGATAACGGCGGTGTAATGGTGGTGGTGATGGAAGTGGTATTGAGAGGATGGTGTAGGTCATCATTTTGTTGGTGGTAGTGGTATTGTTATTGGTATTAATAGTGAGGATAATGGTGGCAATGGTAGCAGTGATGATGGTAGTGATGGCTATGGTGGTGATGATGGCTTTGGTGGTGA